AAGCAAAGTCAAGTTTCCTGACAGGATTTTAAATCAAATATTCTCTGTTTTTGATAATCTATTCCAACCTTTTGCTGCCTCGGTCTGCTAACTCTTAGTGAGTGCTTAATACACTCCAGCTGTTTTTACTTTCAAGATTTCAGCATTTCTTCCACTGACCAACATGCACTCAGAAGCTTATAAAGAAGTCGTATTTTGAGTGGAGTTAGTTCTTGTATTTCCCTTCTCACTTTACACTTCTGCCACTACCCACCAAAACATAACCTAGCTTACTTCACACAATCCATCCATTAGCTATATGTGACTCTATCATGTTAGATTCCAGTGAAACCCAGAATTCCTTTCTTATGCTCGGTACGCCCTTTTGTCCCAACATTGCTGGCAATGTAGGTTTCACTCACTTTCCCTCCTACATCTGTGTTGCTGCAGAATACTGGGCAATTCACAAACTTTAATTTTCTATGCAAATACCACTTGAGAAGCACAGTCCATCAACCTTTTCATGAACAGTTAGCAAAGGAATTGGCCTGAGGATTGCCATTCAAGTCCAAATTTTCCAGTAGGAAACATTATTTTTCCATGGTAGAATAAGATAAAATCATATTTTCTTTGCATATTTTTTGCCCAAGATATTTAGCCCAGTGTCAATGCCTGAAGAAAAGAGTAGAGGACTGGAAGCACGACTCAGTTTCAGACTGACTTGGAACAAGCTCTGTAATTTTAATCAAGTCACCGATGTTTTCAGTTGTCATTGTGGATTTCACAAGGCTAACACTAGACTAACCAAAAAAAAAAAAAAAAATAAAACAGTATGGAACCTGTGCTAAAGGTAATGTTATATGGTGTCAATAATTACAAAGTGAGGGGCTGGGGATTTAGCTCAGCGGTATAAGCACCTGCCTTGCAAGCAGGCAGTCGTGAGTTCGATCCCTGGTACCGGTAAAAATGAAAAAGACCAAAAAAAAAAAAAAAATAATTACAAAGTGGGAGAAATTTTACATAATTTGAAAACTAAAGAGTTAGCCTCTTACGACTTTGTGGAAGCTAACAGGGACATGAGATTCTTGAGCCAGACACAAAAGACTTTATTATTGTGACATAGAAATCAGCAGGAATATTAATTAGCCTATGTGCATCACTGCCCCTTGACACAGATGGACCCAGAGAAAGCTCCTCCCTGAAAGTTGCATTTTAAAACAGGAACCCTGAATTTAGGGAAACTGAGTCTTTTATAGTGGGCCATAGGCGTGCCCAACTTCCTTCTAAATGAAATCATTCTATCCATTCTTTGAAGACTGAGCATATTTTTAAAAAAGAGTCCAGAAAAATACAATAATTTCATAAATCCACAAAGGATTATCTCCTGGTAGTTGGAAACCTTTAAGCAAGAGAAGCATGTCATGCTCACTGATCATTTTACTGGGAAAAATTTCCAGATGTACTTAATTACAACTTTTCTTTAGAATTCAAAGTTAATACAAATGATCACCTACTCTCCCTTAAGCAACTCACATTGCAAATGAAACTTGAGCTTTATTACGTCAAGCAATAACTATAGTTTAACATCTATCTAACAAGATGTCATGTTGACTTTTTAACACTTCTTGTTATCTGAGGCCCCATATAGACCAGAAATTGTGTTTAACCTACATTATTTCATCTTATTTTTAAAAAGTACTGCAGGGTAGATACAGATGTTGAAAATGGAAGCACAAGAATTTATCACCATCAAGAGTTCCGGGAGAACATGGCGGACAGATAACAGCAACTACCGGAGGCTCTCTGAAAGACTCGGCTCAGAAGCCAGGAATGGTGCGGACTAAGGAGACATAAGCAGGTGGAGATATGCTCTGCTGACTCAGGAACGAACTGGGCTGAGAGAAACCAACTTGGAATGCATTCCTGGTGCTAAAACAGGAACAGAAAAGCCTCGGTGTGGAGGCTGGACCCCGCGCCATTGTAAGCTGCGATTTGGGTTTCCTGCCGCGCGGCGGCTGGCTGCCTCTACAGTGGCTCGGCAAGGAGAGAGACGCGCAGAAGCTCTGAGAACGGCAATCTGCGAATGGCAGGGAGGCGTGCACTGACTTGTGGTGAGGTGAGTGAGAGAAGCTGACACTCTACCACAGTTTGACTCCAGCGGAGGACTTTCTGGGCCCGAGCAGTCCTGCGGGAGCAGGGCGCGGTGGCGACTCCAGCCACACATCCCCCTCTCGGGGGGATTGGTGAAAAGTGCCTGGCCTGCGTGATGCTGCCGGCGGACCTGGTAGGCTGTCCCAACACAGATCCCAGAGCCTGACGGTGGCCGGGAGGGGAGACGCGTAGGCTGCCTGGGCCGTAACTCCCTGGTGCGCAGCGGTGAGTGGGAACACCTAACTGGCGCAATTCGATCGGGCTGTGGCTGACTGGGAGAGAAGCTGGGCCTCTTATATAAGCTTGCATATATAAGGAACAGAGAAGAAGAGGCAGCATGGGAAGAGGCAGCAACAAGAAAGGCTCCTCGGCCCCCAATTCTGAGAAACAGGCAATAGCAGACACCGCACCAATATACATAAGGCACCATATAGAGAGCCTCATAGACCAATTCAGGAATGAAGTTATCAACGACCTGAAGCTAGAAGTATGCAGAATAGTTAGAGAAATGCTAAGTACTACCCAAGAAAAAACAGGCGGTGGAATGGAAGAACAGAAAAAAAGGGGAGAATTGTTTGATGGAGAAAACAGAGAAAGCATAGAATACGTGAAGCAGGTTCAAAGGGACTACCAAGATACCAAGAAGTCTATAGAAGACTGGCATAACAGCTTGAAAGAAACTAAGGACAGACTATCTGAACTGGAGGGCAGACTTGTAATATGGGAGAATGAAATGAAAAACTTCTTAAAAATAACAAAGAAACAAACAGCAATAATACAAAGACAAGAAGATGATAAGAGGATCCATAACTTAAGGATTAAGAACATAAAAGAAGAAGTAGGGACACAAACAAGTGAACTACAAAAGCTACTCACAGAAATAATCCAGGAGAATTTTCCTAATTTAGCAAAAGGTAAAGATACTCAGATGTATGAGGCATACAGGACCCCAGCTACCTACAACCCAAACAGAGCAACACCCAGGCATATAATAATCAAAATTCCAGAAATTCAATACAAGAACAGAATATTAAAAGCTGTCAGAGACAAGAAACAGACCACTTACAAGGGAACACCCATCAGAATTACAGCAGATTTCTCTGCACAAACCATCAAATCACGAAGAGCGTGGGGGGAAATAATTCAAGCTTTGAAAGATAATAATCTCCAGCCAAGATTGAGATATCCTGCACAACTGTCCCTGGAAATTGATGGAAAAACAAGGTGCTTCCAGGATAAAGAGGAACTGGGGGAATTTGCAACCACCAATTCAACTCTACAGAGAGTATTGCAGGATATTCTAAAAAAAGAAAAATACAAAGAATCCAGAAATAATGGCAGAGAGGCCACAACGAATGGAGCAGAGAACAAAATGAAGAAGACAAACTGACAGCTACTGACAGAAAAAGAGCTCAACAAAAATGAGGCAGAGAAGATTGGATGATAGGAACAGCTATTTTGGAGAAAATGACATCTTAATAGGTAATACTGATTTAGTATCATCTTGTTTTGAAGTCTCATCTAGCTTTTGTCCTTCTGTCTCCAATGGTCTAAATAGGTTGTATCTTACTGGATTTTATTATGTACGATAGTATAAGCAAAAACCTTGTAAAGACAAGGAGATTATACAGAAATCATTATTCATTTTCTGTTAGTCGATTCTAAATACTCTGTAATGCTGTCATTCTCTTGAATGGTTTTACATTGTTTTGATATACTTAATGCTACAGTATATGAAGTTATACTCAAGGATTTCAAAGAAAGACAATATGGTAACTACTTTTAGGTTAGGATTATCTGGTGGTGAAACACTATTCTGCTTAAATGGTTATGTTTTGATCTGCGCTGTTTCGTTGTTATGCCCTCTTTTATCTCAATCTCCACTCCATTATTTACTTGTTTATCTTTATCCTTTTAATTAAAGGAAAAAAATAGCAGGATATATTATAGTAACCCACCTTGACTTTTCATTACCTTGATTTAAAGCCCTGTATTACTCTCACCATCTGGTTTTTAACTGATGTTCCCCTATTCTGTTTTGCTGGATAGTATCAGGTTCGAAAGTTTAGGCATCAGCTGTGAAGATAATGAGATTCATTATGACGCCCATTCTTGTTGACTTTTATCTACTTTTGAAGACCTACAATGTCTCCAATGTTTTGGTTTTGTTGGTTTTATTCTTTACTGTTTTGTTCAATTGTATTATAACTAACGATATAGGCAATTCTATTAGAGATAGCGGGAGGCATTATGGTAACCATTGTTGATCACCTTGTATTATGTTTTTACATTATCTATTATGTCCACCCTTTTGACTTGACCGATTCTGTTCTGTTATGTCACATTTGGTTTTACTCTCTTCCAAAAAAGTAATAAGAACCGTGGGAGCAATGAAACCCAAAATGTGTAATAGTCATTGTACAAAAGAGAGGAAAAGAAAGTGCTCCAAACTATATAACTGCATGTATATTTAAGTGTATAAGATAGAAAATGATATCACAGAGTTTTATTGGATCAATGAACAGAACTGTTTGCAGTATCATTGATGGAATGTCCACTTTACAAGCTTTAATTTTGTGACTTGAACAATTATTTCTAAGATGACAATATGTAATCCATTAACTAGTGATTTCCTACTGTTCATTTTTTTTTCTGTAAATCTGTATAACTTGTACCCTTTCCCTGCTTTTTTTTTTCTTTTCTCCTTAAATAAAATTTAAAAAAAAAAAAAAAAAAAAAAAGAATTTATCACCATCTAGGAACTTGTGCTCCTTGAGATAATGCCTTTTCTACTAAGCTGGACAGCTGGTTTGGTAACTGTCTTAGTTACTTTTTACTCGTCGCTGAGACAAAATACCTGAAGCCCAAAGTTGGGAAAGGAAAGTTTTATTTCTTACAGTTTTTGGAGGTTTTAGTCCACACTCAGTTGGCTCCAAGGCAGGCAGGCATGGCTGGGCCGCAGTTCATGGCAGCCACCAACAGCAAACAGCAAGACACACCTTCTTCCTGCCATCATATCACATCCTGGCTCCACCCCTATGTGGGTGGAGCACTGACACCATCAATCCAAGCACTAAACAATGCAAATGCACAAATGCACCATGCAAATTCATGAGGCCTGGGGGACACAGACATAAACCATGACAGTAACCAATAAATACTACATGGAAAGTGAGATGCCCTGAAGTCAAAGTCATGGTTGCTGACAATTATAACAGCTGGCCACTGAATTCTGCCTGGTCCTTCGGCTTCTTCATTGTCTAAACTGTGTGTTGATTTAATAGGAATGAGAAATACGTAAGAATTGTGTGAAGATGTACAGCCTAGAGCCTCCACTCAAGTCTGGTTAAAATAACATTTTTCAAGACCCTGTAATTTCTATTTTAAAGAAACTCACTCATGTATTTTAATATGAGTGGTCCTTGAGACCCATCTGAGAAACACTGGGACCCCAAGCAACAAAGAGAATGATGAGAGATGTACTAAGGTTGTCACTCTAGGATACATTACAGCTAAACAAATGTCGAAGTACTGGTTCATTTGGACAGCTACATAGAAAATAATCATAAAAATTAAAATTAAAACAATGAAAAAGCATACATTATTATCCATTAAATGTAAGATTTACTTATTCAAAATACAGGAAAAGTTAATATCCAAAATATGTGGATACAGAGATTTTATTATTTTATTAGTTTAGATCCTAAACTGTTTACAAGGAAGATTTCTTACTTCCCAATGATTTTATGACAAATGGTGCAGATTATCAAACAGAGAAATGCTGAAATGTGAAATATTCCAAGTCTTAGACTCAGCAAAATGAGAATCATAAAGTTGGCTTTGGAGGGTTGTTATAAAGATTAATACTATTTTTCAAGTGCCTAATATTATATCTAGCATACCGTAAGCATTGACTAAATGAGTTTTTCTTATGCCTCTGACCAAATTAGAAAAATGAAAAGTGACATATTCACATATATGTATTTATATGTATGTGTGTTTATAACACGTGTGCATACTCATGTATGTACATATACAGTAGGTCCCTGGCTTACAGACACTGAAGTTGTGAACTTTCACAATGGTGTATAAGAATCTGATTTACAAATGTTCTCCCAGAACAGAACTTTGTTCATAAGTTGGAAAAATACTGTACATTGTATGCTATCTCATTTCCTATTTTACAACTGCTAAGCCAGTTCTCAGTCAAACTTGGCATCTGGTAATGATAGTGAAAGGGTCTCATCCTGTTCCCAAAGCATGTTTGAGAGTCAAGACTTGTGTGGGAAGCACAGATAGTGAAGAATCCTAAAAAAGAGTTTTTGTGGTTGGCACTTTTGCTTATCAGGGCTACAATGTCATTTGCCAAACTTTGGTATGTTCTTCAGGTTTGTCTGCAGTATATCTGAATGCAAATTACTGATATTTTATTTAGTGATTCCATATGTATTTCATTAACCCAATAGGAAATCTAACCCCAAAGAAATAAGTGAGCTGTCTGTTTATTTGTTTATTTTGACAACAGGAATCAAACTCAGGACCTTGTACTTTCTAGGCAGGTACTGTGCTGCTGAGCTACATCTCTGGCTTCAAGTGTTTTATTTTAAATAACTGATACAGATAGGAAATAAGAAAAATAAAGACTGCAATACATTTCAAGTCAATGTTTAAAATTTTTGTTGCTCTCTGGAAGCTTTAACATAGGAGGTATGAACAAAATACTGAATATTTAATTTTTTTAAAAAATGATTGCAGTGAAGGACATATTTCTATTGACACCTTCCTTTGCTTTGAACACACTTATCCCGCTGTCCTTGCCACTCTTTGAAGTAGTCCTAGGACTCCACTTTTGTGTTTGAGGCTGCTCTGTCATGGGTGGCTCGTTGTTCTGTGGATCCCAGCCGTTTACCTTTCATGGTCATTTTGCTTTTGGGGAAGAGCTAGAAGTTACAAGGTGCCAAATACAGTGCATAAGTAGAATGAAGCCACATTATAATTTTTTTATTTGACAGAAATTGCCTTATAAAATAGTTGACCAATAGGGTATGATGAAAACTATGGTGAATGTTTACTTTTTAAAATTTATTACTGGGCTGGGGATTTAGATCAGCGGCATAAGCACCTGCCTTGCAAGCACACAGTCGTGAGTTTGATCTCCAGTACCAAAAAAAAAAATTTTATTACCATAAAAAGTGCATTAGTGCATGAGCAGAACCATTAGCTCCACTCAGAATACTCAGAATCCCCTCCTCATTGTGAACACGCTTATCCTATCATGCTTAGCAATGTGTTTTACTGTAATTATTTCATTTAAACAATCATTGTATTGTCTGGTCATCCGTTGGCTTTTTCATTTTTCAACTCTTGTTTTCAATATAGTGAATCCAACAAAACCAATTCTTTTCATGCCCTCTACTGGATATTTGAGGATAGACATCAATAGCATTGTAAAGGCACCAAGATAATAGCAGATGTGATATTTAAAACCTTAATTTGTAACTTCTGTAAGGCAAAAATCAGCTACACTGATTCACTGTTATCACAATTTCTGTTTTCTGCTTAAAATGCAAATTTCTGAAGAAGCTCTCCTGATAATAGAGATTGCTGGTCCAAGGGAAGAGAGTTAATCAATACAGTCTGCTCCACTGCAAGCTTTGAGGCATCTCAGAAGTTGGCTGTGCCGTCTCCCCTGTGAGTGAAGAAGCCAGGGTTCCAGTCAATGGTAATGTCTCCGAGCAGTTGGAACCTGCAGTAGAGGATGGGATAGGATGGCATGGCTCCTAGCTCTTCAAGAAATAATTCTAAATATTAGCTACTCCATTACACACAGAACCCATGGGAAGGCAGGCAAAAATGCCCTTTACTTGATCTGGCTTTTTAGGGCCATCTCTCAGAGTGTACCAAATCCATTCTCACCTGCCTTTTCCCGCGGCCGATGTTTTTGGTTTTGATTTTACTTTTATTAGTATGTTTGCAGGGCAAAATGATTACATTCCCTATAGGGAATCAGCACATGTATATAGCACACCTCAATTTCCTCTCCGTGCTCTTTATTTCATATTTTATATACCCCCCTTCTTTTTCTCTCTCTCTTCCTCTCTCTCTCCATATGAGTTTCCAGTAAGCTAGGCAACTGAAAACACTTAACGAAATAAAATGAGCTACAAATCTGAAAGCACAGTGTCAGTAATCCCATTTACCTTTTCTTCACTCATGCAGACTATCTGGTGAGCTTGCTCATCCGTGTATTTTTCATGGCTCATACAAAGTTGCTGTGAATTTGTCCCCATATTTTCATTCCCTTCATTTCCGCCATGCCATCCCTAATGCCAGAACATGCTTGGTCATCTTAAAACATCTACATGTTAGGGTTTAGATCTAACCTGTCTCCCCCAAATCCCATAGTCTCAAAGGATGGGCTCTAACAAGGCAATTGGATCATGGATGTTCTAACTTCATCAGTGGGTGAATCCACTGATGAGATCAGAATTTGATGCTATTTTGGGGAGGTGCTAGAAGAAAGAAGTGACGCCTCCTTTACAGGAGCAGATCATGGGAGCTGCCCTTGGGGACACTAACCCCCTTCCTCCTCGCTCTTCACCCCCTCTCCTGCTTCCTGGCTGCTTCGAGGCAAGCACCCTTTCTCCGCCGTGCTCCTCCACCTTGGTATTTCTGCCTCACCATAGGCCTCAAAGCATTGGAGCTTGTGATCATGAACTGAGACCTCTGAAAAGGTGAGCCAAAATAAACCTCTCGGCTTCACAGGTTTATTATCTCAGGAATCTATCACCGTAGAGAAAAGCCGACTGAGGCCATCAGAACACTGTAGAAAAGCAGGGCTTAACGATAACATCATAGCAGGCCTGGGTAAGATTTTCTTTACAGAAAATCGTATCTTTCAACAAAAGTGTCAGTTAAAACCCTTGTTTCCAGGCTTTGACCTTCAACCATATTATCCAAGACTAAATTTAGACTTGATTTAAAGATTGCAAAAATGAAACTAGACCTCTGCAGGAACAACTTAAGAAAGCGCAGGAGCCTGCCGCAGGCCGAGGACCGTGGTGCGTGCCTGCCAGCAGGGGGCGGTGTTGCCTCTCCGAACCTCACGCACGAGGGTGTTTCCGTCCCGTTCCACGCTCATCGCTGCCGCACCCGAGATCGCGAATATTCCCACGGCGCAGGGTCGGTTCGGAGGCCCACTAGGGTGTCTCTCGCGTAAAATCGGCGTCTCACTCCAGCCAGATGATCTGTTCCCTCTGCATTCTTCGTCCATCGCTGCCGCCTTGTGTTCATCCCTGCATTCTAGGGCAGCCACCATCTCGGCCGCGAGGGTCCAGGCTCTGCGCAGCAGGGAGGACGCGCCCGCCGCCGCGCACCGGGTCGGCCCGGCTGGGTTCCGTGCTGGGGCAAGGAAAAGTCCTGGTGACCCTCCCCACTGGACGTAAAGGGGCGGCTCCCCGCGCGGCGTCCCGGCCCTGAAAGCTCGGACCCGGGACCCAGGCGTCAGCCTGGCCGAGCCTCCGATTCGCCTCAGCGTCTTCCACCGGCGGAGGCCTTCCTCCCCTCCGGAAACGCAGGCCTTTACACACGCACGCATCTTACCCGAGGATTTCACGAGAAAGAAAAGGGCTTTTTGGCGTGTGCTTCCCACGCCTTTACCCATTTCAGAAGCTGCCTTTCAGCATACCACAACATGTCCTGAACAGTCATGTTGCTTTGCTGCACTCGGCCCCTTCCCAGCAGTAGCAGTGGCCTGGTCAGTGAGCTGTGGGCTCAGGTTCGCTGTGTGAAAGCGCCCGCGTGCTCACAGGTAAGCGACATCCTCCTGGGCGTCACCTCTGCCTCGCAGTGTGCGCGTTGAAGAGGTGGATCACAGGTCACTAGCTCTGGGATCCGGCGCTGAACCTTCAAGGCAGCTGAGACAACAGGCCCGCGGCTTCTGCCCCTCACCTCCCCACCATCGCCTGTGCTTGATGGTGCCTTTTTATAAGTTGACTTTCAGGAACACAGTGACCGATGCTGCAGAGAGGGTAGCGCCGGGTCAGCAACCAAAAGGCCAAAGCCTCTTCCTTAAATGTTCATTTCTTATCTTAGTCGGCTTTGAAGTCAAATCCCTGGGACAGACAATGCAAAAAGAAACATGGCTGTAGCAAATGATAGGAAATACACTCCTACTAAATTAAGTCTTTATACCTATTCTGTGAACATTTAGTAACACTGTCTCTTAATGCTTAGACATTATTTTTCTTCATCACATATGATGCCTTAAACCTGGAAACACAAACTAAATGAGAAATCTATAAAAAGGGACGTGCTTAGCAAGTGACAGCCTCGTCCTACTGTAAAGAAAGGTAGAAAGCCCATCACTGTGGCAAGCTGCATCAAGAAAACTAAACTAGATTTTCTAGTTTGCCAGGACAAATTGATTGGGATTCATAGTATGTTTTTTTCTTTCCTATCCTGAAATTCTCCAGTATACACTGTCTGATTGGCTTTTGTTCTCTATTTGAAATTCACCACCATGTTTAATTTTGCCATTTATTATTCAGAATGTGAACATAGATAAAAAATTTTTCAACACAATAAAAAGTTGATTTTAATACCTTCAGACAAGTAATAATGGCTTAAGAGAGGGGGAAATATTACATAAAATAGATGTTAATATACAGTTAATGATAAATCAAGAAACTGATTAATTTGATAATCATTAATATTGATTGAATTAATAGTAAATTTAGTGAATAACAAAATAAATAGCAACATAAAATTAGGTGTGACAGTAGGAAAATATATGGCTTGAGAAACCCTGAAATGAAGCTGGTCCAGCTTTGTGGCATCACTGTAGCTCTTTTCAGTTTAAATAGAGAAACAGAGAGTATGGAGGAGTTGATTTTCCAATTTTCTATTCCATTGTCTCAGAAATATTTTAAAACACATGCTGATTTGTTTCATTTACACTACTAGTTTCTCTTTGTTCATTGGAAAGAAAGTTTTGTGCTATTATCTGTTTATTTCTTCTTTGTGAGAGTCCTTTTGTCAATGACTTGTACTCTAAGTAGCATTTTAGCCATACTTTTAAGATCACGATACACAGCATATGAACTATTGTTATTCTCTAATTATTTTCTTATGAAATTTTTTTATTTTTCACAGAAATAAGAAGGCATTTTTAATTTTATTAGTGTCTACTTTGTAAGGACAAAGTTATAGAATACTATTATTCTATAATGTAAAGACATTTTATAGCAGCAGTTAAAAATCCATTAGTGGCCTGTGACTGTGCTCATGTTGCCTGTCACATGGTCTACTGCCAAATTCAGTCAGCCTGGACTGTCTGCGTCCAGCTGCTTCTCCTAGACAACGTGCTAGGTCAGCCTGACTGCATCCAGCTGCAATGCATGTGTCTTTCCCTACTTAGAAAAATAGATATGTACAGTTTTCCAACTTACTTCAAGGACTTCACATCTAGAACAGACTGGCCCAGTAAAGATCACATTTAACTCTGTTTGCTCTGCTCAATACTCTTCCCTCCTTCCCAGAATGTTCCTACCTTATGGTAAGTAATTCCTTTTAAGTAAATGTATTTAAAACTAGTCAATTTGACAACATATGCGTTAATTCATGTAACCAATCAACCTGCCATCAGCCTTGTACTTCCTGCTTGCAAAATGTATTTAAACTGAACTCTAAACTGACTCAGGGCTGGTGATTTCCCATCAGCCTGCTAGTGTAATAAATCATTGCCTTGCAAACTCCTCAGTGTGGAGCATTTTCCTTTTGATCCAGAATTTTACATAACACTTTATTGCCTTAAAAAATCCACAGAAATAAATAAATGAACAAAATAGGAGTGTGAGATTTCCTAGGAGAGCAATACATTGTCCTGGGATTAAGTGTTTGCAAATAAATCCTCCAGTATAAAACTAAGTATCATGGGCCAGGGATTTAGCTCAGCAGCATGAATGCTTGCCTGGTAGCATGAGCTTGTGAGTTCAATCCCTGGTACAAAAAAACAAAAACAAAAACTGAGTATCAGAGCCCACGAGCTGAGCCATGGGCCTAGGACCTTCCTGGTGTTACATCTTTCAGACTGTCAAATTAAGACATATTGTTTGACAAGAAACAATTCTATCATTTTCAGAGAAACCGAGAGAGGTCAAGCTCTGAGTTAGAATAGAATTTGCCTCACCTCCCATTTAGGTGATCTCCAGGAATCTTGTGAATTCACTGACTGGGCCACGTAAGTAAGAAGGCTGGGCCTGCACCAGGGATCATGAGGGAGATGATTTCTGCTTCAGGAGAACACTCCCTGAACACTCACCTCTGTCCCTGAGTGCAGAAGAGCCTTTGAGATTACGCATCATGTGTAAATAAATGCAGCAACCAGACACAAGGATTGCTTCAGTAACCTCTTAGCCAACTAGGGATCACAGCTCCACTTCCCTCCAGCCTGCCAGGGCAGGTGACTATTACTGTCACTGTTCCGAGTACTTGCTGCAGATCTGCTGATAAAAGCCAGCATCTGTGTGCCCAGGACTGACAGACAAAGGGCCCTGCAGATGTCTACCTTTCCTTTCTTCAGTACGTACTTTTTGGGGTTTTTGAACAGAAGAGTGAAGCTAGGACCTTTGCACTGAGGTATATCTCCAGCCCTTTGTTTGTTTGCTTGCTTATTTATTTATTTTGAGGCAAGTTCTTGCTGAGTTGCACAAATTGGGCTCACACTTGTAATCTGCCCCAGCCTCCCACAGTGCTGGGATTCCCAGCATGAGCCTCCTCATCTGGCTGGCTCTATTCTTACTCTGAGGAAGGGGTGAGGCAATTAATGGAACTGGCAGGAGCTGTCAGAGCCTCTGAAACAACTGCAGTCACATCCCAGGGCCCATGAGGCTGACTGGCCAGGTGGGATAATTATCAAGAGGTACCCTCAGATCACTGCAGTCTCCAACCTACGTAGGCAAGCGGCAAAGACTCTGGGAATTACAGCTAACTTAGTATCTAAGGCCTGACGGGGTAGCTCAGGGACAGAGCACAGGCCCAGGATGCATGAAGCCCTGGCTTTAATTCCTAGCACTTGGAGAAAAACAAAAACTAAAGGAAAAAGGATTTCAAGAAGCACATATACCATACCTACACGGTCACAGATGGTGCTGAGCATGTTTGGCTCAATATACATCGTAAAAATAAATGTTGATGCTTTTAAAAAGTTCTAGTTATTTCTTATTTTGGGTTGTGTTGTACATCAGTGTTTCTCCTCGTGAAAAATTATCAAGCTCTTCACTTAAAATTTTATACATTGCCATATACTTCAATAAGAAGTTATTTTTAAAAAGCAAAGGATTGTTCTAGATATGAGATCAACAAGTTATAGTCTATAGTCAGGCCCTATTCTTTTTTATGATTTATTAGTTACAGATGTTTTACGTATTTTAAGTGGCTGAAAAGTCACAAGAAAATAATATTTTGTGGCAATGAAAATTACATAAATCTGTTGAAACATATTTACATTCATTCCCTGCATGCTGTCTGTGGCTGTGGCTGTTTTTATACTATAGCGACAGAGCCAGCATTGTTTGTAAACCCTAAAATATTTATATTAATGCAACATTATTTATACTATGTGTATCAGTCAGTGTTTTACTAGAGAAACAGACATAACAAGAGATATACAACTGTATAAGAAATGACAAGATTGGTTTATGAAAGGTCATCCACAGAGTCAAATGAGGAAAAGTTCAGAGAGTGTCGGCACACTGGACACCGAAAGTTTCAGTCCAAGGTCTGGAACGCACTGTGGTGTCCTGTGCAGTCACCGGGGCCGATAGGTTTGTGACAGAAGGCTAAAGAGTCAACGCCAAGGCAGAAGCTGCAGAGTCTGAGCTAGAAGGAAGTGACGTCAAAGCTGAAGACTGGAGCTCCTCTAAAGAAGAGATGCAAGTCCCTCCTTCCTCATCTCCCCTTTACACTGGCCAGGCAACAAGCTGCCTTAGGTGGGTCCTCTACACCCTGGGGTAGAACTGCCGTGCCAACTTAATTAGCTCCTAATCTTCTCAAGTGACACAATCAACCAACCATTGTACTATGGATACAAAAATATATATTCATATCTATCCTTTACAGAATATGTTTACCCACCTTTGTTTTAGATTAAAGGGCAAAGGACATGGATCCAGATCCCCAAAAAGAAAAAAAAGTATAACAAAATGAGTAACATTTTGGAAGCAATTCAGGAAATAGGAATATGTTCTATATAACCAGATAATTATTTTATAAGAATGTTAAGTAGGGGCTGAGGATTTAGCTTAGTGGCATAAACGCCTGCCTTGCAAGCGTGCGGTCATGAGTTCGATCCCTGGTACCAATAAAAAAAAAAAAGAGAGAGAATGTTAAGTATCCTGGTATAATAATAGTGGTATGGAGTCACAGGATTCCCTGCACTTAAAAGACACCTACTAACATATTTAGAGCAGGAGAGTTAAATATCTGCAACTTCCTTGCAAATAGCTGGAGAAGATATACAAAGAGCACACCACCTTATCACAAACTGGATAAAAAGTTAACCACCAGTGAACGTACAGGAAGGGTACAAGGGAGTTTATCTTCCTGTTCTCTCGACATTTCCTTAGGTCTGAAACTTTGTAAAAGAAAAATTTAGGGAAATAAATACAAACTTAAAAATGGTAACAATTTTGAAAGTACCCAATCAGGCTATAAATGATGCATTAGTACCACATGGTGAGGGCCATCAGGTAAGACAAACAGTTTGAGGCTTGCGTATAAACCTGTTCAGCAGTTGCACATTACTGGGTCCTCTGCCAGTCCATGACTCACAGCTTTTTGGCCTTTCTAAATTCTCCTCTCTTTGTTTTTTGTTTTTCTGAGCTGATTCTAGACTGCAAGGAGTTTACCAAAAATTTATTTGTTGCCTGATCTCCACATTTGAAGCAAATATGGTAGTGTTTATCCCACCTGTTGAGAAACATTATAAAATAACCTCATACATAAATGTAATTGTGATTTTTCCCTAGTATGTTTCAGAAATTCATCATTCAATAACTTTGTGTCTTTTTAAGAATTAATTCCTTGGCTGGTG